GCTTAGGCATTGTTTGGTATATAGAGGCGCAAGTAGCTACAAGCCGTGAAGTCCCGCTTCAAAGGCTCTTGATATTCTTTCTGATGGTAACATTATTATACTACCCCCCATCCCCCCCCCACACACACACACACACACCTTTAATTATCATGTGCCTTAGTATAGTGGGTTATGATTAGATTCTTTTTATTATTTTCGTTTTAACCATTATTAAATCTTTATTGTTTAAAACCACATCAGCAAAGGAGAAAAAGGAGGAGACGAAGAAGAAGGAGAGAAGAAAAAAAAATAGAGAACAAAAAGAAGAACAGAAGAAAAAGAAGGAGAGAATAAAAGAAGAAAAAGAAGAAGAGAAGAGAAGAAGAAGAGAAGAAAATAAGAAGAGAAGATAAAAAAAAAGAGAGAAAAAAGAAATAGAAGAAGAAGAACAAAACACGAACACAAAGAAACACAGGACAAAAAAACTTACCGGTCACATTAAATGTCTGACCGTTGACAGTAAAATCCTGTGTTCCAGTGGAATCTGTAAAAGTAATAATTATGTTGGCTAGATGTGTTGAAGAAATAAACGAGTCCCCGTCGGTTGTGAAGCTATTAGAAGAGAATGGGTGCGTGGTGTTGCCGTCAAGTTCATCCGTTGCTCTTATCGTGTTGTGAACATCATAACTGGGGACCGCCAGCAGGACCCGCCACTCAAGGGGCGCCGCAATTCCCCACCCGTACTCGTAGTTGAACGGTGGGATCATAGTGGAAACGAGCGTGCAGTCGATTTTCGTAGTGACGTGACTTGTAAGATTGACCACCACATCATCTGAAAACAAAAGGAAGATCAGAAATTGTGGTGGTATAAAACAGCAAACTTCAATGTAGATGCATAGTAGCTCTTTCTTTGGATGAGGATTCTTTTTCCAGGTTGCCTAGGGACAATAGGGACTCTTAGATTTGCACGTCGACATAGTGGACTGATTCGTGTGGCGTCGTTTTAAGGCACTGTGACTGTCAGTGCTTTAAAAGGACGCCACACGTTGCAGTCCACTATCATGTCGACGTGCACATCTAAAAGTCCCTATTGCAAGGTCTGTAACGTTCATACTAAAGTGACCGAGCATCCCAACAAATTATTAAAAGCAAATCCATTGATCTGATGGTACACATATCTAATTATATTCCAAAGGAAAATTGTTAAACAAAGTCAAAGTATCAAACAATGTTTACTTTAGTTGAAACTTTTAAATATATCGGTGGGGATTTTTTTCGGATTTTTCGTGGAATTCCCACCTGTCTCGATATGATGTTGAGAGCAGCAGTCGGGTGTCAGGTGTACAGATGAATAACCCTCACTGGTGCATGTCCAGACAGTATCGTTCGAAAGTAGCCCAGCGATGTTGTGATGGGTAGTGATTTGGCAGACATGTGTCAATAGCAATGAATCTAAGGATTACAAGGTGAAGGGAAGTTTAAATTGCGGTAAACATTTAACACAAATATAGTGGGTTACCAACCGTACTCTGGATCGTGACAATAATAGTCCATATATATTTGATATTTATATAATATTGGATGGCTTTGAGTGTGATACAAGAATATATTGCTCGAGCTATGACAATATTGGACGAGTCAAAGACGAGTCTAATATTGTCTTAGCGAGAGCAATGTATTCTTGTATCACACGAAAAAAAGCTATACAATATCATTATTATCATTTATATTATTCTGACTAGCGAAATAGCTAAATTGTACTTACCTCGGTAAATATAGCTTTGTTTTCGTGTGATATCGAAATGATATCGATATCAATAGTTGAAGTTCCCGGATGATTGAGCAATACGAAAACAACATTGGTCAGTCATCCGGGTACTGCGCTAAAAATATTGAATACACTGATATATTGTACCACTTGAAAGCCGTATATAAATAATAATTGCCAATCTCCACCCAGGTGTGAAAGGGTACCTGGAAATTACAAGGGTAATGATAACTACAGGGCCCGTAGGAGAAGCAGTATTAGGGACTTTTAGATTTGCAAGAAGACAATGTGGATTGCTACGATCAACGTCCTTTTAATGCACTGCCTTGAATGGACGTCACATGTATCAGTCCACGCAAATCTAAAAGCCCCTATTGATGCCGATGTTGCTGCTTTGGGTCAAAAAGACTCAATAATTCCCATTCTCTGAAGTCAATTAGGAAGTATTGCCTTCAAATGCCCTCATATTCGAAATATTACGAGAAATGAAAATTACATGCCAAACTATCATGTCACATGTGTGTTTATGTAGTCCCATGGCACAACGATGTCTTTTTGTCTTTTTAGCAACAATATTCAAAGGCGTGGGGACGGCGTTGTACGATCATACGATTGGAATGTACTTAGCTATGGTTCGATTATTTTTTCATTTGTACACGATTGCTATTTTCGGTTCAACGGTTTCAGAACTGAAACCATTGAACAACAAAAGCAATACAAAAACTGACGATCTACTGGTTATGAAATATGAAAAAAGAGTAAATAGACACATGCCGTTATAAAAGTAAAAAGGGGGAATCCCTAATGTGTATATCCACACTCCTTACATTTATATTTTGTATTCATTCAGATATTCAGTAAAAGCCAAACATGTCCGGGGTCATCATGGCAGCAAAAAGTTTTAAGAACCTGTACAAGGCTACATCCACGATGTTGTTATTCATAACTATGACATCATAATAGTTTAGCACGATATAAAACACGATTGCACGTATTTTCGAAAAATCAAGGGTAATTTCAATCCCCTATAATAATTGTATGTCCGATAGAAATCATGGTCGGATTGCGTAATCAATCATTGTCATGTGCACGCGTTTCAATAGATGACACACAGTGTTTATTGAAATTGCTTTTTGCTTATTTTTCGAAAGAAGTTGCTTTGTGCACACAAATCTTGCCCACTAAAATTCAAGGTTGGTAGAAGCTTTAACAAAGATTACATTATATACAGTAGGCTTGCGGGTGCACCATGTGAGAGAGAGGGAGGATTGAGGAGTCCTGAAAGATTACATTATATGATTATCCCAACCTGTGCAAGTTTTCTGTATCAACTTGCTTTGTGTTATACATGAAATGAAATAGATGAAACATATATCTAAAGATAAAGAAAACAAGAATACATGGTTCCATTGAGAAGATCTAAGCTAACAAATTTCTTACCACAATTTGTGGTTGAATCCACCGGGGCCGATCGGCTGGAGCATGTTCTCCCGAGAACCGGCAACAACAAGAAAACATGGAGTAACATCAAAACTCTTTTCTGCCCCCTGTCCATGGTGAGTTTGCTACACTGTACTATCTGGCACACATATGAGAACTCTCCCTGTACTCACGGAGTTTACAACAGAGGTCACAGAACTATAACTTTCCAAAGCAGTCCATCTATATATACATATATCTCTCTGTAGTAAAATGTTTATGTAACCAATTTTTCTTTAGATTCAGAGCTGATGGTTCATTGCTTTTATACAATGGAGAAACGAACTTAGCATTGATACAAATATTGCATATCCTCAATATCCTGTTACGGTAGATTCCCTCACCTCGCCTTTTAGTTAGGCTATTGTGTTTATTTGCAGACTATTTCTGGGTACTTGTTTCATATTAACACAAAGGATTTTTAATGGGAAGGTAGGTAAGAGAACGAGAGAGAGAGGGAGAGAGAGAGAGATAGAGAAAAGAGAGGGAGGGACAGAAAATAGTCAGGGAGAGAGAGAGAGAGAGACAGAGAGAGAGAGAGAGAGGAAGAGAGGGGGAGAGGGATGGAGAGGCAAAAAAAGAAAATAGTGCTAATTGTTGAAATGAGTAAAGGTTTTTTTTACCAAGCTGTTTTTCAATTTGACAAATATATAATAAGGTGGACCCTTCCTTGAAACCTTTATATATAGATAGATTAGCGGAGGGTTAGTTGGGAGTAAATGACAAATAGGGCACACATTGTCATTGACAACGTAAATAATGTATTGTTTGTTTGCTTGTCTTTTTGGCGAACTTACATTTTCATAATAAGAAAACAAAAACAAAGACACACACATACACACATCACATACACTATTAAACACAAATAATATAAAGGAATCAATCAATTAACAAAGTTTGGAGGTTTGTATAATAAAAACGGACACTCTGTTCAGTAGACTGTAACTAAATCATTATTTAATGAAAGGGCCGTGGTCTGAAGTGTTTTTAACATGCTGAATGTCACCTTTGAACGGATGGATATAGTCATTTAGAGTGAGACACAGCATTTTAATCGTAGCTCTAGCGCAGATTAGATTTGTGAACTTGCTTGTTATGGCGCTGTGCAGGTTGCAAGAAAACAAATATTGAGCCAGATCCTATACTGCTCTCGTCTAGAATCTGATCGGTTTAACATTTAAAAAAGATCTTCTAGTTTGTACCGATATATTCACCGGGCGCTCTATTAATCAGGGATCACGTATTGGTAGATTTTTTAAGAAATGAAATCGGTCAGATTCTGGATTAATAATGCAAAATCGGTCACACATGGGAAGTTGCTATCACTGTGTGTAATCTGGTTCTAGACGTTTTCAATAAGTTAATCCGTTTTAACTCCCTGTGCGTCTACCACGCGTAGATGGCGCTAAATCTTCTTCTTTTTCTTCTGGTAGTCTTTAAGATTTGCAAGTACAAGTCTTGATCCACTCACTCTCCCTAGAGGATTGAAAAACCAAACCCGGTAGAATTAATAAATTGACCAGGGGATTTAACGGTGTATAACTAAGTCCAAGACTAGATTTAGAGCATGACGTGGTTATATTTGCACCGTGCCTGGTACAGCAAACGCCCACAGAATCCCTCCCCTGTAAACCAGAGAAAGTTATGTTGCACGTATAATATTCCCGCATTGAAAACCACACCCCAATGAGTACGAACAATAAAACCTAGCGCAGACGTTCGCGAGAGCTATGACGTATAACCCTATTCATCGGCCCCTATTCAATAGGTAAAACTGCATAATATATATACCACAAACCTCCAGATGCATGCACAATTGAATGTGTGTTGTCGGTAGGACAGAACGAGCTTTGAACGTTAGTAATCAATGACGCTGTACTATTAAAGAATTCACCATGTCGTAAAATTATATCGCCTAGCCTCTCTGATAATTGTGGATGCAGTACATTATATAGCATACGAAATTGTCTACCCGAGGAAGCATACATTCGTCTGATCAACAGATTCTGGATAATATTCAAGAAACAGTTGGTAAGTATAATGTTTACAATTTTTTCTCGAACCAGATTCGGAAACAAAATCATCTCATACATTTAAATGCACCGTTGTATTGTAAGATAATTCATCATTTCGTATACATTTTCATCATTCACTTGCTTTGCTGTTGAACAGTGAAAACTGCATTTAATCGTTTCACCTGTCACCAACAACAGTGTTTTCCCGCTGAATTGAAGGCGGTTAAAATAACCCAGACACAATCAATGTTAGCATCATACTATTTAGCAATGACATGCTTGGTGATGCATATATTCGACGCATTTACATGTGCTTTCGAGTACAGACATAACTGCACGTCTAAATGAGTCAGCCATGAACTAATAAGAATGATTATAATTTATATTTAGAAATTTGTAGAATACAATATAACGGCTGGAGATGGCTTTTCAGTTAAATTCATACCTGTAAATTTGATGTTATTCAATGTTTTTCTTAACAGATGACTGACGAATTATATGTGGAGTGGTTTAACCATAGGACATTTGTTGTATATACTTTTAGATTCAAGCTATAATACGTCACATTCTGGAAAAAAAAGTAAATCTGGAAAATCAAATCTTGTCACATACTTTAAAAAAATCATGTTCAAAATTGATGAGGGTAAGGATCATTCAGTTTGTTAGTGTAAGCAGGCTATCAGAATGTGGGGTTATATCATACAATATTTCCGACCGTAAACACTATGATAATATTTCCATCTATTTTCTCGATCAGCAGCACTATGAATAGAAGTTCCAAAAACAACTTGTTCAATAGTATAACTAATGCACATGCCTCGGAAGAGGTCAATATGCAAGCCCTATTAAACAAATTGAAAAAGACAAAATGATATCAATAAAGGTAGCTGTGATGTATACTGTCTTTACCTTTCCATGCAATAGTGGCTATATATCATTGGCATTGTATGACGCGCAGGCGATGTTATAGAACACACTATTACTTTTCAATTGTACATTGTATCATAATCCTATCAGTGTCTACTATTATCGACTCCTTTAATGTAACTTATTATTGAACACGACTTTTTGTTTATGTGTCATCCTGTAAATGGATGGAGATCAAACAAATGCACCCTAGGTAAACAATTCACAAAGGGTTAAGGCCGTGGGTAAATAGAGACGACGAGAGTGCTCCTATTCATCATATACCGAGATCATAGTTTGTGCCAGACGTAAGAAGAAAAAAGGGTGTTCATACTTTGATATGCCTTGAATTTGAACCTGTTTCAAGTTTTAAAGACCGTCAATACTACTGGGCCAGAAGGGATTAGACCACACAGCAAGGTCACTGACAGGTGGCTATCTCATTAACTCAGCTCTCAACTAACATAAGAAAAAGAGGATCATGGGGGACCAACAGGCACCGATTGGGGAAGTTTTCTATATAGAGGGAGCAAGTAGATACAAGTAGGACAATGGGGCTTTAAGTTTCAAGTTTTATTTATCTTTCTTTCATAACACACTTTACAAATATGACATGAATATAACAAGTGAACAGAATATGGCGGTACAATAGAAAGATGAGATGACCTTGGTTGAAAGCAAGGCTTGTGGATTTAAGGTCCACCTTCTTGCATCTACATGATTTAGTTGACAAAAAAGAGAGATATTTTCCAAAATTATGATTATAATAGCCATAATAATTATGAAAACAACAACAATAGCAACAATAATAATAATAACAATAAAAATAATGATAATAATAATAATGACTCCTGGGGGTGTCTCACAAAGATCCTTAGTCGAACTTAACTCTAAGTTGGACTTAACAATAATGGAAGCCGTTAGCATCTTTGGAAATATTTTGAAAAAAAAATATTTTTGAAAGGCATACAAATGTTAATTCAAATTATTCATATTTTCTATTATCAAGGAGATTTCATGTTCTTGAAGTGGTATTTATGAAAAGTCTAAAACACTTGAATTTTTGCTTTTGAATATATTTTATTTTAAGGCTACAAATGGCTCTCCATAACGTTTAAGTCCAACTCTCTTCCACAATATATTTCGTAAACAATTGACAAAATTGAACTAAAACCAGACTGAATAGGTCCTTTTATATGCACCTTAATTAATATGCAAATAGGACACTCCGTTCTTCATGTATTCTGACAAAACACACACCCTATTTATTTGCGAGAATTTTCAGGAATAAAGGAGGCAGAGTTTACAGAAGAAGACGATAATAAATATTGATAATAAATAATAATGACATTAATGATGAGGATACAAATAATACTAATTGATTAAAAAATAATAATAAAAACAATGATACTAACAAAAAATTGTTGAATAAAGAAAAGGGAGATTTCATGTAAATATTGTGGTGTATCAGGAGGATTGAAAAAGCATTTTGCAGTCCCCTCTCTCTCCCCTCCCGGTTTGAAGGCCTCGAAATTGAAATGCTTAGTCTATGTTTCTGAGGCTGACCTGATAAATACTGCCCCCTCCCCTCCGCTGTTTTTAATTCCCGCATTCGCCTCAGAATTTTATTTTAGCGGTTTTATTTATTAATTTTGTATTCATTTCATAATTAAAATAAGAAATGGTTGTTTCTCTTATTTATTTCTTGATTAATATATCAATTTGTTCTTATATATTTTATTTTTTTTCAGTGACAACTTAACATGACAAGACAAAGCATGTACGACCAACGACCAGATTACCGAATACTTTTCACCGTCTGTATCATCGCTGCAAACGTCATCGTTACTCCAACGTTGGCTCAATTTAAAACACCACGTAAGTATATTTTGATTTATTGCTTTAATCTCACCGTAGTGTCTTCTTTGGAAAGTAAACAAAAGTGATCACGTTCGAATGTGTGCTTTTGTTTCTACGGGATTCATATGAGAATCTCATAATAATATGACCTGGGGGTGTTTCATGAAGCTGTTTGTAAAGTTACGCATGACTTTACGAACGATTTGTATATGAAAAGCCAAATGGGATGCTCAATCATTATTAACTGCATCAACTAAAATTGAACTGTGCAGATGTAGATTAACATTCTTATTATAACAACCATTTTTAATGCAAAGTATATATTTTGCCATAATTTAATTGAGGTCATTGGAAATATCAGAAAAAACTTTGGGCATCCTATCTGGCACTTCATATACAAGTCGTTCGTAAAGTCATGCGTAACTTTACGAACAGCTTTATGAAACACCCCTGTCTTAATGATAATGTGTCCCACGAAAATCTGTCCATATTTATAATAACGTTTAATTCTGTTTGTTTGAAAACCTGTTAAAATAATTATCTGCTCATAAGATTATCCGTTTATGTGATCATCTGTTCAATGATAATCTGTCATATGATATATGTTAATTATGTTCATAAGACATCTGTTCATATTGATACTTATTCATGTGAAAATCCCTTCAAGTAAAAGTCTTCTCATATCAAAATCTATTCATATGATAATATGTCCGTATAATAATGTGTTCATACAAAAATTTAGTCGAACGAAATTATGGTTATATCGATATGTTTCTAGGAAAATATTTTCTTGGAACATTGCGTTCATATCATGATAATCCGTTTAGATATAATACATTTTTCAAATGACAACCTATTTAATAATAATATGTTCTTATGAATACCTATTCATTCGATCCTCACATTAATACGATAATCTGTTCATGTGAGTTTGGGATATAATAATTTTGTTCGTTGTGATACTTGAATCATATTAGTTATCTATTTGTATGATAAAATGTTAACATGATCATATTTTCTAATAATATTATGTACATATAGAAATCTGTTCATATTACAAAATTCTGTTCATTAAATTGATACATCGTAATCTGTTTAGGTCTACACGTATGTAGTGATTTGTTCAAATGAAGATCCGTTCAAAATATAAATTAATCTATCAAAATTATATCCAAATAATCCTAATTATTGATATATTCAATCAACTGTTTTGTAATGACAGGGGCAGCACGGTTTGACTCTAATGCTTTGTGGAAGGGAACACCTGAGGTGAGGTTCAACAACAACAACAATTGGGTCGTCATATGCGCAGACTCGCGATGGAATATAGAAGTAGCAAGAGCAGTATGTTACCATCGAGGTTAGTAGCAGGGGATCCAGGATCTGTAAAAGGGGATTAGTTAAAAGACAAAAAAAAAATAACGTGTCTTCAAAGTGTGAAATATATGGAAGGGCTCAATTACGTTATGCTCTCACCCTCTCTCGCTCTGTTGTCTGTCTGTCTATCTGTCTGTCTCTCTGTCTCTCCCTCTTTCTGTCGATCTATGCCTTTAAAGGATTGGGACACACGTCCGATCCCCCACACCCTCTGAATTCGCCACTTATATACCCTTATACCCTTATATTATTATGAGCAAAAAAAAGATATCGCAACTTGTCATAATAGCCTTGATATTGAATTTATATTCAACACAAATTCAACAAAATGCATTATTTACATTTGAGTACCATATTTTAATGCCTTCACATTACATCCCTCCCTTTTTTAGTTTTTACTTTCATGTTCCATTTTAAGCTTCTTTTTAATCTTCATGATCATTCTGCACCACTTTATAATTAATGTCAATGAATTTCTTTGCTGTTATTTGTTTTGGATATCATTACACATTTCACTTGTTCAACATCGTTCCTTTCTGGAGAGCAGAGTCAATATTCCTGAAGCTAACCTATCATTATTAATATAACTAGTAGTAGTAGTAGTAGTAGTAGTAGTAGTAGTAGTAGTAGTAGTAGTAGTAGTAGTAGTAGTATAGTAGTAATAGTTGCAGTAATGATAATAATGATAATGATATTGTCACCATCATCATCATTATCCACATCATCATTACTGGTGTTGTTGTTGTTGCAGTTATTCTCGTCACAATTAGTATCACTTTTATTTCATGTATTCGGTTTTGTTTATTTTACATATTCTTGAATTTTCATCAATTTTGATTTGACACCAGGATTCGGCGGAGTTATGCTGATGGGCACCAATACGTTAAATTACCCGGTCGAACACGCATCGTGTACTCCCGATTATTCTTCCACGCCTCCTCTCTACTGCCAAGAGATTTCCACCAGATCGTGCTCTGAAGTACTGATGATTTCATGTTTTTGTAAGTTGCAATATCTCCATTGAACCGAAGCTTAAACGTGCAGCGAGATGGCGAATGGGAAAGGTGCCATGTTTAAGACGAGAAGGCGAGTTGTGAGAACTCGCCGAGGCACCATCCTTTTAAAGACAAGGCGGGAAAGTGCTTTGGCAGTTAAACAAGTCGCCTTTTCGCTGCCGGTTAAGTTTCCCTACCAGTGCCACATATTTGGTCACATGAAATAAACGCACTGTCCGCCGTCTGTATCTATTAAAAGACATCACGATTATAGCCGTAAATCTTACGAGTATAATCATGTTATCCTGACACCATCCATCTTCGGTATTCTTCCATTCCCAATTCATTTTCTTTGTTTAACTTTTGAAGTGCGAATCAGAAGCAAATACCGTTATTAATCAAAATCAATCCAAACAACTCCTTTCGATAGTTTACTATGATTTCAGAATGTATTTGGTTATTTGAAATGTATTATTATTTTGAACATCACTATGTGGAAAATCAAATCGCCCGTATTTTACTCAAACTTGAACCCAACGCTGGGTAAAGGACTTTCTTCAACATGGGGTTTCGCAAATGAATTTAACCCGATGTCTAAACATTGTTTTTTAAACGTGATTTTAGCCTCAGACTTAGGATTACCTGAATTAGTAGAATACGGTGCTTTGAGATATACAATCGGGGCACGTTTATGATAAAATGTCAATGCTTTACATTTACACCACTAGTTTTTGTTCCTCTTCCGTTGTTTAAAATGTATACAGTACCAGGTTATCAGGGCTGTTATGGGAACACGAACTCCAACCCGTACTTTAGCATCACCCCTCCTCAACCGTTCGATCAGACCCTCCAGGACTGCGCTCGAGATTGCTACTCCCGGGGTTACGAGTTCGCCGGTGTGTCTGGCCAGAGATGTTCTTGTGATAATACCAACGAACCCGCGGAAGGGGATGAGCTTGGTCCCGCAGCCTGTCAGACTGCCTGTCTGGGAGATAGCGACCAGGTCTGTGGAGGCAACAATGCCATTAGCGTTTATGATGGTGGGTTGAAATAATTATTCATTTCTATCAATTTGTCCAATTTTTAACGTCAAAAACGTTATTCTGTCAAAAATGTTATTCCGTTTGTGTTGCTAAGAAGAAAGCTATAAAACTTTTAAAATGTAACGCTAAAAGTCAGAGGCTGACGCATTCCTACGTGCTACGTGTAATGAGCATAATTTTAGTCGTGTCATTTAAAGGCCCACTGCACTACTGGTAGCTACTTGCGCCCTCTATATAACAAACAATGCCTAATCGGTGACCATTGGTCCCCCATGATCCTCTTTTTCTTATGTTAACTGAGAGCTGGGTTGATGAGATAACCACCTGTCCAGTGACCTTGCAGAGCGGTCTAATCCCTCCTGTAAACTATGGCAGATAAGCTTTAACCTGACTTTCTTCTTTTTTCCTCTTCTTCTCCTTCTTTTCTTCTCGATCTTCTTCTTTTCCTTCTCCTTCTTCTCCTTCTTCTTCTTTTCCCTCTCTTTTTCTTCTTCTTCTTGTTTTCCTTTTTCTTCTTCCTATCCTCATTTTTCTTTTTCTCCTTTTCCTCCTTCTCTTCCTTCTTCCTCTTCTTCTTCTGTATCTTTTTTCCTCGGTATCATTTTAGCGATTTCGTTCTCATACGGATTATTTAACTGTTTTTATTGTATTGTGATAATAAATGTCACATTGTTCTGTCTTCCCATTAATCTTTAAAGCTTCCCTGGGTCAGTGTGGATTAGAGCGTGTGATTGAAGATGGAGACTCGGGATACTTCACATCTAAGGTATGTGCAAATTTATCCATGGTTACAATGATTCATAGACTTCTCCATGACCCATTCTGCATGTTCTGGTGAAGAAATTGATCATGATTACAATTATTATTATCATCATTATTTTAACTGTACATCTCCTCTCTATTGGACCTCGTTTATTTATAATTATGAATCATCTAATATACATATATTTACATTTTTCTCTCTCTCTTTAGCTATATCTCTATCATTCACAGTTTCGTCCTCATAAGTTATCTCATTCCTCCTACTCTCTCTCTCTCCCTCTCTCTTTCTCTCTCTCTCTTACTCTCTTTCTCTATCTCTCTCTCTTTCTTTCTCTCTCTCTCTCTCTCTTTTTTTCTCTCTCTCTCTTTCTCTCATTTGTTTTTCTTCACTCGTCTTCCATCTCTCTCTACAATGTTTATGTGTATGATCGTAAAACTTTCGAAAAACCATCAAAAGGCGATTTCAACAGCATTTTGCGTCACTTATTCAGGCGCGGATCCAGGATTTTTCAATAGGGGGGGGGGGGGGGCCGGAAATTTGAAAATTGCGCATACCGTTTTTTCAACTCAACATAACAATACTGACAAGGTCATATTAGAAGCAACATACCGGTACAATTTTGAGCATATGTATTCTGTGAAAGCGTTATTTATTACCAAAAATAACCCGAGAAAAATATATCGAAAATTCATATTCGTGTTCCCCCCCCCCTCATTACGCGCGAAGCGCAGAACCTTTGTTGTTTCATGAAATTATTAGAGAAAGAAGAACATTCGTTGTACCATTCTCGACTCTTATTCTTTGTCTGAATTTAGTTCCTCCCCCCCCCCCTCTCCCGCGCGAAGCGCGGAAACTTTGACCTTTCATAGTTTAATGAAATTATTAGAGAAAGAAGACGTTCCGTTGTACCGTTCCCAACTCTTAATCCTTGTTTAAATGCAGTTTCCCCTCTCTCGCGCGAAGCGCGTGGAAGTTTTGATATTTCATTAAATTATTAGAGAAAGAAGAGGGTTCGTTGTTCCGTTCTCGACTCTAAATCCTTGTCTGAAGTCAGTTTCCTATTGCCCGCGCGAAGCGCGGAAGCTTTGACCTTTCATAAATTATTAGAGAAAGAAGACGATTCGTTGTACCGTTTTTTACTCTTTGTCCTTGTCTGAATTGAGTCCCCCCCCCCCCCCCACCTCTCGAGCGAAGCGCGGAAACGTTGACCTTTCATAGTTTAATGAAATTATTAGAGAAAGAAGACGTTCCGTTGTACCGTTCACAACTCTTAATCCTTGTTAAAATGCAGTTTCCCCCCTCCCACGCAAAGCGCGTGGAAGCTTTGATGTTTCATTAAATTATTAGAGAAAGAAGACGATTCGTTGTACCGTTTTTTACTTTTTGTCCTTGTCTGAATTGAGTTCCTCCCCCCCCCCCCCCTCTCGCGCGAAGCGCGGAAGCTTTGACGTTTCATTAAATTATTAGAAAAAGAAGAAGATTCGTTGTACCATTTTCGACTCTTAATCCTTGTCTGAATTCAGTTTCGGCCCCCCTCCCTCCAAGCGAAGCGCGGAAGCTTTGACATTTCATTAAATTATTAGAGAAAGAGACGATTCGTTGTACCGTTCTCGACTTGTCAGAATTTTCAAAAATGTTTCCTTGTCTGCTCCTACCACCCTTAGCTACGTGCCTGCTTTAAAGGGAAAATGAAACAATCATGATTGTAATAGTACACAATTAGGTCAGTAGAAATGAACGGGAAAAAAAAAAAAAAAAGATCTATTACACCAACCATGGATAAATCACGCCCGGGAGCGTCAGATCATAGTTTTGTGTTATCGGGCGAGGGCCGGGGAGTAGCGGCCAAGTGAGATTTTGCAATGTTGAATGCTGAAATTATGCATTCTAGAAAATCCCTAAGCCCAATATGTACGTTCTTTCCGCTATATTTTTTCGAGCTATATTTCTAAATTTCCTGGGGGACGTGTCCCCCTATCGGGCCAGGATTGCCGCCCCTGTCCATGATTACTACGATCATGAGTTCAAATACAAGAACAAGCGAGTCAGTATGAGCTGAATTTAAATGAAGGGCAAAATAAGAGTTGTAAAGCGGCCCTACCGTTAATTTCAAATTATATGAGTATATAGCTTCTATTTAAAAGACATCCAAAATATGGTGCCCTTTTCAAATTGCTCGCTAAAGAGTGATTACCTTTGTAGCGCAGGGGCTGTTTTTAACGTTTAACTTTGAATCCGCGGCTCGAGATTTTATGCGGCCGGCCTGGTCCCCTCTATTCACGAACGTTTGTCAAGCCTTCTGGAATGACCCAAAATCTCCCGATTACAGTTTTCCCTTATTCGTCGTTACTGTCACTTAGCGCCATTTCCTTTTCTTTCTCCCTTTCTCACCCGACTTTTCTCTTCCCCCATTGTTGTGTATTACGGGCCGGACTTTGTTGGGAGATTTTGGGAACACAAATTCGGTCCCTCCGACCCCGGAGTGGGAGGGAAGGGGGGGGCGTTCTTCGTGTTATTTTCTATTTTTTTCTCTCTTTCTCTCTCTCTCTCTCTCTGTTTCTTTTCTCTTCTCCTTTTTTTCTTCTCTCTTCTCTTCTCCTTTTTTTTCTTCTCTTCTCCTTTTTTTCTTCTCTTCTCCTTTCTTTTTTTCCCTCTTCTTTTCTTCCTCTTTTTTCCATTTTTTTTGCGCCGCCAATAGTGGGGGGCCGCGGCCGTTTCGGCACCCCCCCCCTGGATCCGCCACTGCTTATTGCAATATGCAATCATTACAGTGACACGCATTACGCAATCCAAACCTGATATGTATGTACAGCAGGTTACTAAAAAAAGTATCGCTTGTGTTTTCCTCTGATTCAATATGTAAATTATTTTAGTCCTAGAATTTTCCATTATCATATTCAATATCTCAATATTTTGATTTTATTGTGCTTATATTGAAGTGGAAATACATCAAATGTAATCAAAGTCTTTGCCATGATATCGCAATATATCTTTTCCCTTTTCCTTTATTGCTCAAGGGTTTTCCAAGTAAATACCTGTCCGATTCTGACTGCCAACATGAGTTGATCGTCAACCTGACCTCATCATATCTCGAGATTTATATCAATTACCTGTTGGGTGACAACGACGTGCTCGAGTTATATTTCGACTCTGACAACATAACGCTAAGAGGGGGCAGTGGCTTGGAGTCAGCCTACATATGGTACCCCGAGTTTGGTTCTATAGTTAGTGTCCATTTCCAGGCGCAAGCTCCGACCACTGGGGGCTTCTTCATCATCTATTTCAATGCAGAGTGTGAGTATCAATGTTCCGTTGCTACCATGAGTATGTCTTTTTTCAATGCCATATTTATTGCGCAAAAACAATAAATAAACAAATGATGAATGATTAGTTTCATTGATTTCATTAATTATATATATTTTTTTAAAGCAAGGGGGACCTACTTTAACCTGAAAAGCCGTGCATAAGTATCAAAAAACATCCAACACTGATATAACAAATTACAATATATACATATATATATATATCATACCAAATAGAAATAATGAATAAACTATACCAAATAGATAGAAGGTCAACAAATGTATATATACATTTGTTTTAAAATATACGACATTGTACTTCAATACAATAAACTTCAATTCAATACTAAAAAGCGTTTTAAAAAGGCAACTGACAGGGTTGTAGTTGGCAAAGAGGCGTCAAGCTTTGGTGATACGGTTCCCGTACATATATTCCTGAAGATGGGAGCTACATAAGAACCGAAAGAACGAAGTCTCTGTGGGGATATTTTCATATTAAAGAATACTGATGATATTGGAACAAAATTGAGATTTATGGTTTTCAGTTATGGTTTTCTTTGCTTTTTGGGGTATCTTGATATAGAAAAGGCTGTGTGCGAATAGCTATATCATCCGCTTTTCTGCTTTCTTGATAATGTTACATTGGGATATGTAACATGGTGAGTAATAAACTGTCATTGATGCAGTGTCATTTGTTTATTCCTTCCGCAGTGAACGAGACTACTGACTACAGTTCAAGTTCAAGTTCAAGCTACGACACACCTCCCCCTAGTCCACCTTCAGAGTCTACGACGACCACTGCCAGTCCACCTTCTAACAACAATCTTGGTAAGGACACGTCCATTGCTCTCCTCGCCTCTCTGCAAGATCGCTCGTTTGCCAGACGAAATAAATAATTGCATGAAACAATAGGCACCAATGTTTGACGGTAGGATCGCTTTTTGCAATTAACAGAAAGGCTATGTAAAATTACTAATGTCCGGTCTTGATTTAAACACTGGTATAGATATATCGACTGCTACGAGAGGCCTGGCTGTTTTATGGGCTCAAGGGGACGTTGCATCATCAGATGACCCCTCGGCGCGCTGCCTGAGGGCCAACAGTCAGGCCTTGGATATTAACAGTCGATATGTCTTTTATATACCGAATTGACACAAAAATCTACCAAGATTTCTTACCTTATCATTTTCTTGAGTAAAGATTGGTTGAAACATCACGGAAAATATTAGGCATTGTCTGTTAATCTTCGCTGAACGGATGACTGAATGTTACAATCATTTGGGAATCGCAGAGAAAGAACACTGTAGGGTATCCGCGCTCGCACAAACTAAGTTTTAACAAGTAAACCAATGGGGATCGCAGCAAAATTTTACTATTTTCCTGGTACCCGGAATCTTGCGGGAATCTCACTCATGAACTATTAACCGGTACTGGCATTGATTGTTTCTTTACGGGCATTGCTAAAATCACGACTCCAATTTCGACCAATCAGATGGCTAGATTTCTAAAGAGAGGTATATAATATAGATTAATCTTGTACTGGAATTGAATAACTAATAGTGACGCCTTTGGTATATGTATCTCTTGATACACTAGTGTAGCACAAGGAGGTTGCTTGTGTGTCACGGTTATAACAGTGAGAACAGTGTGGTATTTTGCTAGAGGATCGTGATTTTATTTTTCTAAAGAGAGGTGTCGGGTCCGATCTGTGCTCGGTGCTTATATCCATAGACAAGGTGCTTTTCCCATAAAGTCCCTCTCGACTCAGTTGTTTTAAGCCCCACTGTACTACTTGTAGCTACTTGCTCCCTCTATATAGAAAACAATGCCTAATCGATGCCTGTTGGTCCCCAATGCTCCTCTTTTTCTTATGTTAATTGAGAGCTGAGTCGATGAGATAGCCAGCCGTCAGTGACCTCGCTGGGTGGTTTACTCCCTCCTGGCCAAACTACTACATACGGCCTTTAAATACCCGACAAGATTGAAATCAACAAGAATTGCAAGGCCCAAATTAAGTAGAGTATTAATTTAATTTCATTTCATTTCATTTTCTTCTGCTTTCCATATAAGTATTTTCGGTAACATAACAAACTAGGCAAGTACTAAAAGGAACTTTCTGACAATTAGTCATAAATAATCAAATGTACATAAAATGTTAAGTATAACAAAATGTGTGTATGTATGGTTTTAATGACAAATATCTATGTTCTTGGTCTCTTTTGCATATTTCCAGCGTTGTACATAGGAGTCGGAGTGGCAGCTGCAGTCGTTATCATTTTGTTCATAGCGCTATTGAGTGTTTTCATAACGGCAAGAAGAAATAGGTACGATCTTTTTTATTTTATTTATCAAATACACATCCATTCAATACGCTTCTATAGGCGTTTTGAAGTCCAGTTTGGCACATATTCTGTAGACGTAGAAGTGCAACGCTTCTTGGAGTGTGAGCGCATAGGAAAGTTGATCAAAGCTCAAAAGACATGAATGAGATAAACGCATGAAATAACAGTAGTAGAATGAACTTCGTGGCAGATGATTGACCGTGTAGCAGATCAGAATGATTAATTTTCAAATTTTCGAGGGCAAAAAAAAAGGGCTCACTTCCCCCCCCCCTCCCCCTAGAGCGACCCCCTCCCCCCTCTCCCCCCCCCCCCCCCCCCCCCTGAGCGACTTTTCGGCCGGCGCGATTTTCAAATTTTCGGGAGCAAAAAAGAAACAAAATTGGGCCCCCTCCCCTGAGAAATCCTGGATCTGCGCCTGCATTGGAGGATCCAACTCTTACACCGTCAATCATTATTATTTACTACTACTACTACTACTACAAATTTTGCTACAAAAGTACCAACTGAATTATTTTAGCCAGCTGCTGATTTTTTAAATGATGTTTCTGCTTTCAGAGAGTTATTACAAATATGAAACAGAGGTTAATACTTAATTGATGATTTCGTAACGTTTTCCATTGTTCTCACAGATCTAAACCTGCTGCAGGAGGTCACGTGGACGTTAACTCCGCTACAAACGTGGCGTACAACATGGACAACGACAACGTAAAGGTTAACAGTGGTAATACACCTGGCACACACTCGACTGAAGATACACACAGATACGCCACCATTGACGGCGACGGCGGTTACTATTACGCACCTACCAATGGCCCGCAACCGCCATTGCCACAAGCACGTGATGGAGCCGCACCAGCCAATCAGGAGGCGCAGTATGAAGAGCTGCCGGGCGACACTGCAGGAACTCCATACCAGTCGTTAACAAAAACAGACGCACAAGCATATCAGGAACTGAGCAAGGAAGAAGCGCCTTCATATACCACACTCAATCCCCCTGCTAATAATGAATACATGGAGCCGATATAAATAGTTTGTTTAACTCCAAATTAATAAAACAAATACAACAGAGCAATAACATTTATATCTCTGTCAATGATTTTACGTATGTTTTTGTACATCTCAATATCAAAATAAAACAATCCGCCAATTGTACGTGTGATTGCAAATGACTCGGGCTATTTTCCACTCCAATCAGCGGTTGAGATGAGCCTAGCTGGCGACGAAGAGAGATCAAGAGACCAGAGTCGAACGAGCGATCGAGTACCGTTAACCATGAGGCCTTTTGGATTTTGGCTTTTGCTGATCTGCATGAGTTATTAATAGGTACACTTTAGCATGCTAATACGCCATCTTTGGATTTATTGTGACCAATCAAAAAGGCCATCTCCCGGTTTGCTTCGTTCGTGATTCGTTCATTATCGATACATGTATCAACAGGTTAAAGACGTAAATAAATTTAGCTTATGAGATGAACATATGAATGATAAATGCAAAATATCACATTTTAGTCTATTTTACATACCAAATTACGATAAAACAGGAAGCTTTGATGATTTGAGCTAAAAATTGAAAGTGAAATGATTAGACCTTCCCTGTATATACATTCGTTTAAAACTCGTTTTCGTTCAATCTATGCTGACGTCATGCGAGAAAACGTTCGCTGATTGGACGCTACAATTTCGGTAGAGAATCCCGCTCGGAAACCAAGGTCAACATAAGAAATCCAAACCAGATTACTAAAGGCCTCTTGGCTGAAGCCACTTGGTCTCGCGTTTGCTTGGGTTTTCGTGATTAGTCTCGTTTTAGTCGCTCGGCGTCAGATATAAATATCATTATCAGACACGAGGCCTTGTCTAAAGGCTACTCTACTCCCTTTCATTCGCTGATAAATGGGAAAAGAGGGACCGAAGGATATTTGTTAGATATCTGATGTCATATGGCAATGTCATTAAATAATATAGATAAGTCCCTATCATCTAGCTTCTTATACAGCTATGCATTGATGTTTTTTACGATATTATGAGGCCAATTGCAAACCACTTCCATTGTTACCACTTCAACTGATATGTGATAATATTTGCATCCTGATAGCAATGTTAAAGGTACTATGTCCCTTTTGCAGCCAACCTCAAATTCTGTAGAACTTTGCAGGAATTATGAATATGTCATGTATGTCCTATCTGTGAAATTTAAACGTTAGCAGTGTCCTAATATTCAAATTATACAAGGAAACCCGTTTACTTGCTAGACTTCACTGTCAGACACTATTGAGTGACTGACTGGCTCTTTTTCTTCTTTGGTAATAACATACATACAATGAGCTGTAGAGGGTACATGAGCATTTGTCTACATCAATAACCACTTCTTATGATGGCCAAAATTAAACTGATTGAATCTTTGTGCAGTATAAAATGTATAACCGTTCGGTACAATGGTCTGAAAATCAAGACTATTACTTATTGGCTCTATAACTCCTAAGTCGATTTGACAACTAAAAGTCGTTATTTTCCTACTTGAAAGCATTTTCAAGCCCCACCTTTTTTAGAGAAGTTCTAAATTGGTATTATCTTTCAAATGCCGTTGGAATTTAACCTTTTCATTTTTTGGCCTGCAAATGGGACATAGTACCTTTAATGTGTAGATGTTTAACATGTTTAACATGTTATGTTCGCATATATTTGAATGTGGCACAGGGCTTATTGAAAGTGCCTTAGGTTGATAGTTGAAATAATAAGTTTTTGTTCATAAAGTGCATGACCAGATGCATTATGTTGTGTATATTTCTAATTATGTGTTTTAGATTATTTTGTGATTTTGATAGTGTAAAAACTATATATTCTGCGTTTATACGGCGCTTAATAAAACGATTGTCAGCTGGATCTCTTTGCAGATAAACGCTCCTATATAGTTTAAGTATCTTACCTTATTTGATATGGTATTTTTCTGTTCCTGTCATGTTTCTTTGTATGTAAAAGGTTTATAGTGAGCAACAGTATGTATTTACAAATGACGATACAGATTTTGTATTAACATGAGATATATATTTTATTTCTTGGCCTTTGATGGTAATTTGTTTTGTTTATATATTTTCACTTGAATTCTGAACCCCTCTGTCACGGATCATGGGCAACACTAAACCACGACAATCTGATTCGCCACCAAAGACAAGCATTACACATCCCCAAACCGCCACAATAACTCCCAGAACATATGAGTCAGAAGGCCAATGTCTATGTGTCAAGATGTCTACGATAACGAACCCTTTATTAAGTAGTCTTGGTTCCAAGCGCACGCAGGCGCGTCACACCTCCCTCCTTAAAACAGAAAGTTATGGAAGAACTTTCTAGCAACAACATGCATATAATCTCAAAGCATGCTCTGTAAGTTAAACTCTGTAACTCTAACAATAAACATAGTTATTGGATACATCTACATAGTAACAGTAACTGAATACTTTGGCTAAGCTCATCCTTGTATGCTAGTGAATAGTCTTACATAAACGCACAACTGTTTATCGATTAACAATAACAAAAAGGTGGTATTTCAAAGAAAAATGAACGCCCTCTTTATAGACATGTACCCATTGCACAGCAATACTGGATATAACCGCTACAAAATTTTCTTATTTTTTAAAAGAACAACTGGCAAAAAACATATACATCATTGCCACTGAAAACTGAAACCATAGTCCTCTGCCTTTTGATTAGACACAAATGTGTCGAGCTGAATCTGAAATATTTCAAATACGCTTATATATGCCTGTAGGTAATAATGCAAAATACTGTTAAACACTGACATATATCCAGATATAATATACAAGTGAGTATATAAGCAAAACGAACAAACTTAAATTTGTCACCTGATACAATATAGTAATAAATTTACGACAAATATTCATAACCTTTCATGGTCATGTGACCTTACCATAGCCACAACACTAGTTATCAACATGCATACTGTACACAGCTCGTTAAATATGTGAAATATATAGATAGCTGATCTTCCACCAAGTGAGTATAAGCACGATTTTAACATTGAAGCCCAGGGAAAAAAACGTCTAAAACCTGATTTTAAGGAAATTGTCACAAAGGAATGGCATTTTCGATTAACCTTTTCTGAAAACGACAAATACTGATAACTTGCTCTTTTTCAATGAAACAAAATATGAAACTTGATACATTCAACAACATGTACAAAGCACCTTCATACCTCTACTATAGTACTCAGTACATGTACTTTTAAACAAATAGTATGAACACTCTGTATTTACTTTACCTCTTGTAAAATTCTTTAAAACAAGGTATAATCATATTCTTTTCAGCAATAACACTACACCTTTTTCTGTGTGTCAATCTCAACTGTACAATTTAAACGAGCTCCAAACAATGAGAAGTTACCGTATCGTCATTCTCTCTTGAACATACATGTAGTATCACTGTTATTGTAGTAGTCTTAATTGTCTGTACCAACTGTAATCTGACCAAAATGCATTTGACGGAGTGAAATACATTATAATGTATTAACTGCTATTTAAAATCTTGCATGTTAACCTCTGTTGACTAGACAAAATGTATGACGTTGAAAATAAACTGCATATACCTGCAAATAAAAATATTTAAAGAATATGCAAAAAGAGTACGCTGTACAATTTTCACATTTTTCATATACAAAATACAATAATTATTTCTTAACATTGCAAATAGCAATCTATCCACGAGACAATGTATCAGCAATGATATTGTCGTTTCCACGAATGTGTTCAATCTTCAAATCATACTCCTGAAGCATGAGAGACCACCTCATTAGTCTGCTGTTTTTGTTTCTCATCTTAGTTAGCAAGGTGAGAGGGTTGTGGTCAGTTCTTACTGTCACTGAGTATTCGTTGGTAGTTACATATTGTTACGAATATACACATGAGATGTTGATTAATATGCTAATTCCAAGATGTGGCTAGAGTTGAGAGTAATAAACGGATCAAAGGTAACCAAATCATCTTGATTGTTCTTTATTTATCAAAATAATTCTGAGTTGTGGAAGGGCCAATGTGAGTAGATTGCCCCGACCCAACAATATATATCAAAGTACTGGAGAGATAGGATAAGGGCCAGGGTTTCCTTCTCAATTGTCGAATATCTTGCTTGATGCTTGTTAAACTTCTTCGACATATAACATACTGAGCGCTCCATCCCAGCCTCATCCGCTTGGATCAAAACACTTCCAGCCCCCACGTCGCTTTGGTCTAGTGGTATGATTCTTGCTTGGGGTGCGAGAGGTCCCGGGTTCGACTCCCGGACGAGCCCCCAATTTGTCACGGATCATGGGCAAAACTAAACCACGACAATCTGATTCGCCACCGAAGACAAGCATTACACATCCCCAAACCGCCACAATAACTCCCAGAACATATAAGTCAGAAGGCCAATGTCTATATGTCAAGATGTCTACGATAACGAACCCTTTATTAAGTAGTCTTGGTTCCAAGCGCACGCAGGCGCGTCACACCCTCCCCCTATCACTCTAATACCCCCCCCCCCCTCTCTCTCTCTCTCTCTCTTTCCCTCTCTCTCTCTGTTTATGATTCCGTCTCTCTCACTCTCCCCTCTCTCTCTCTCTGTCTCTCTCTGTCTCTGTCTCTCTCTCTCTCTCGGAGGCTGTTCACACCGCAATGAGATAGCGCGGTCTATCGTAGCACCCCCTTTTTTCTAGCGCGCGCTAGCCCGCGCTATCTCTCGTGGACCACCCCCAAGAGGTGCTCCAGTGTTGGCTCGCCGTGGCTCGCTGTTGGGCGGACCGAAACGACGTTGTACCTTCCAAACCGCGGAGATAGCGCGGTCTGGCGCGCGCTATCTCTGCCGGTGTGAACAGCCTCTCTGTCTCTCTTAAAGTTGGTGACCAGCAGGATTTATGAAACACCAATTTCCCTTGACCATCTTCTTTTTTTTTTAAAGTAAAATCCTATAAACAAATCAGTACACTTTGATAAAGCACTAAGAAAACTCCGAGAAAAAAAATTGTACTAATTTGTGACCAAGGCTTAGTTTTAAGAAACTGTCACAATTTCGCCGGCATCCCATTGAAACACATACAGATTTCAATACATGGGTTTCCGTTATAGGTGACGGCGGACTTGTACTTATGGTGGTTTCATGAAACGGTGCCCTGAGCCTCGATCTATATCATCGGGGAAGAGTGATAATCAGTGTGCTGATTATGAATCAATTTCTTGGATACTGTTATTTCGTCGTAAAAACAAAGCCGACCAAAATCCTGGTCTGGTTTTTATGATAGCCTTGTGCATTGTGGCAACATTACAATGGCATATGACGTAATCTGAACATGATATGTAATGACATTGCGATTGAGATTACTTCTAAAAATCGTTCAATCGTCTTCTCGTTATATTCAATAACAACTACACAACATTCCAGCGACTGAAAAAATGATGATGCTTCTCCGTTTGAAAAGCAAATATATCTAAATAAATATGCTGATCAAAATTGAATTCAGGCGCGACTCCTTAATTCATAGTATTGTTTGGCAATTCACCAATGTGTGCGTTTTTGGCCGAGGTAGAGGTGAAAAGTGTTTGCATTGTTCGAGAAGTTTAAATACACCATGAATGGCAATATGAAATTACTCGAGGGGTGCAAACATTTGAGGAAAAGTCAAATAAAAAGGGGTTACGGTGCAGAGACCACGCCAGTGACAAAGGTAATATCTTCTCATTCGCTTTTTTACAAGCATTCTCCAAATCCGTACCTTCCCTGCTCAAGATTGTGTTTTTCAGAAAATTTGGAAGCCAGTCGAAGTTGTTGTCGAATTCATCCCTCTGGCAACTGAAAACGGGATCTAACAACGTTTAGAAATATTATAGGATAACTAGCAATGAAAATGGGATTTCGTGAATACAGGGATATCCATGTACTTGGAAACAGTCCCTTGTTCTTTATGAGGCATATTGCAATTATACTTCTGTATGTCACGTCTTGTTCAGCGATATTCCATTTCCAAGAAACACGTAAGTATGATTTTCTTTGTTTGTATATTTGTTTGATTGTTTGTTTCGATGGTTCTATTGCTGTTTTTCTCAATCTCTCTCCTTTTCTTTCCCTTAGTCTGTCTCCAATTCTCCATAATTCTCAACGTGATGTACACTTAAGTATACATAAGTAAGAAAAAAAGTGACATTCAAATGACATTCAAAATATATCTGCTCATTCATGCTCGATTAGGAAATTAACCAATAATAATAGAATTAATAAAAGATAAACATCCTTATCGGTAAAGATCCTTACAAAATAAACGTTTAGTGAAAATCCTACTTTTTAAAAGTCCTATTTTTTATGATATATCAAATAACGTGACCTGTTATAGGAAATGATGCTCGGGTAGTACATGAGGTTTTCCGAGCGTTATTTAGGAGATTTAACAGTAAAAAGAATCGTCATAAATTATCGTTTCAATTTACATTGATAAAGGAATGGCGATTACGATTCTCATGTTTAAAGTAATGAATGCGGCATCGACCTTTCAACTAATATCATGATTGTTTTGTTGTTTTTCTGCCCCACACACTATTTTAGTTTCCATCAGTTTAGATGGCAGTGCAGACATCTGGCAAGGGAGTCCATCTGCCTTCATACGATCTGATAAAAAATATCGAATTTGTGCAGACGACATATACTGGAGCGATGAGATCGCTGATTCTATATGTAGATACCGAGGTAAGTAAAGATTTGACTCTTATAAATCGGGGCTTACCCGAAATAGCCAGAAGTAGTGTATGCAGATATAAATGACAGGTTTACTGGAATAACTCGTCACCAGGTCCCCTTGAAAGGAACATCCATAAATTTGCATATGCTAGTAAACCGGTCTATTAATTGTAGATCGCTCCAACTGGTGGACTAAGCAATGTTGCATCTACGTCAAAACATCCCAATCGAAATCCATTCTGGTCAGGTACAATCATTTATTTTAAATCACTATGTGATCATTGTTCATGACATAACGAATGTATTGGTTTAGGTTAAGACTTCAATGTCGTGAGCCTACTGCTGATTGTGAATTTGAAAAGAAGAGAAAATCCCAGAATATGGGCCTATGGAAATTCGACAGAAAAAAGTTTTACATGAGTAATACGCGGTCATACAAGTTATCGAATCCTGCAACAATGAGAGTTCAGAATTACATTTAAAGACCGTCAATACTACTGGGCCAGAAGGGATTAGACCACACAGCCAGGTCACTGACAGGTGCTTCTATCTCATCAACTCAGCTCTCAACTAACATAAGAAAAAGAGGATCAGTGGGTACCAACAGGCACCGATTGGGGAAGTTTTCTATATAGAGGGAGCAAGTAGCTACAAGTAGGACAGTGGGGCTTTAAGAAATATTTTATTAAAGTATTTATTTAAAAAAAAAATTGTATGTTATCTTTTTTTTCTTCAGGTTTCGATGGAGCAATGATCATAAAGGAATATCCATCCAACTCTGGATATGATTATGCCGTGTGTAATCTTGCCGAGACCGGTCGCACACCCCTCGTGTGTGATTCCATCGACGTGTGCGATAAGGCTCCAGTCATCTCATGCTTATGTAAGTAAATCCTCGGTCACAGATGCCATTACGAACTGCTACGAACTGCTACGAACTGCTACGAACGATTTGTAGACCACGGAAATTCGGGAAGACCATGGAAAAACAGGGAGATTCGTACGACAGCATCGTTCGTAAGAATCTTTGTGATCGTAGCTTTAGTTCGCCAACTTAATTCTTAAAGGTCTTTAGTCGCGGGTTCTCATGAGGACTTAGACACCATTCGGGTGTTTACTCAATAATAGGTGTTGTCAATTACCCAGAATGGACGTGACTTTAATGAAATGCACTGCACCTTTCACCAATCACACCATAATGAAATACATTTCGTAAATTTCATTCAGGCTCGAGATATGAAGGCAAGCTAAATTAGTTGTTGTGATGGGTCACGTACAGTTTTGCTGCCTCCGAGACGTGTACAAGCATCAATGGTTAATGCAACTAAATTTGGTGTTGGCGAAATATTACACAATGCAAATGGAAAAAGACGGCTGAGTCACTTTTGCACTTTGCTTTAGCACAAATAGAACAAATAGTGGACTCCCACAGTCGACTCACGTCAGAAGTATATAGAAGACATACACTCAAAGCAAAGTGGCAATTAAGGGTTTAAGTCGTCATCAAATAAAAGAGTTGATTAAATTGTAGGAATAATATTATGAACTAATTTAACACAAAGTGTGAATTACAACTCCACTCATCCTTCCGGTAAGAAAAATGAAATATTTTACATTTTTATCTTGACCCTCGGCCGTCTTCAACGAAATTAAACCGATGTTAGTCCTCAACATGTATGGAGTGCATATGCAAATCTTTCAATCAACTTGTAATATACTGTACATATATAAAAGATTAACAATGATTTTATACTCAAAACAGTTTTTAAATGGAGAGAAAGGCTTATAAGATGCGGGACATACTGGAAGTGATAAATGGAGGGTGGGGAGATATATATATATATATATATATATATATATATATATATATATATAAGGGGGAGAGAGAGAGAGAGGGGGAGAAGGGGGAGGGACTAGAATCCATAGAGAAAAGGAATACGATACAAATGAAAAAAACAAAAAACACGGAAAATAAAAAAAGTGAATTAATGAACTAAAATAAAGTTAAAATTGATGAAGGAGGAAGGAGAGAGAGAGAGATATATATATATATAGAAGAGAGACAGACTAAAATAGTTATACAGTATGTGAGAATGTTAGAATGTGGGAACATTGCCTAGGTAAAACTCTATCACGATCGAAAGGACAACCCAAGATCAATTCCAATACCCTATTGTATATCCCATATAATCGAAATCGTCATCGTCATTTGTAATGTTGACATTATAGCTTTGGTAATCGTCAACTCTATGACAATGAAATCATGTTTGTATTCAGTACCAGGATACCAAGGCTGCTTCACTCACACCGAATCCAGTCCATTCTTCACCAACGCGGAACAAGCGCCCTCTCAAGACGAACCATACAACATCCAAACCTGTGCTGAGGCATGCGTCCAATACCCATACATGGGACTTACGAACGGTCAGATCTGTATCTGCGGATCAGCCTTAGACGATCAGGGTAAAGGGGTCTGTGATCTGGGATGTCTAGAAGACGAACTGCAGCTATGTGGAGGAGTAGATTCTATAAGCGTTTTTGCTGTTGGTATGTTAAAATTCATGTACTGTTTGGAGTCAGAGGGCGTCATGTCAATATGTCATATTGTTCTACATAGACTATCAAGTTTATTTCAAGTTTACTTACTTCACTTTATCAACGAAAACATAATTGAATATAATGAACAATGGTAATTATTAATGCCCTTTTGGCTCCCATTATAATGGCTTTCTTTGAAATGATTATCTTTTTGTTTTTAAGTGGCGTAGCTACGGAGGCATGGCTGAAACGAGAAACGAAGAGAGACAAACAGAAAGAATTATATGAGAGGGTCAAGGAAATGTGATTTGCTGCACTCCTCTCAGTCTCAACCCCACCCTGACCTCCTCCCACATTTATGGCTTTCTTAAGTCATCTTTTTATCTACGTACCACCCATCCTTTCTTGCCAGTCCCCATTAAATGGTGCCCGAATAAAACGTTGCTAAAAATTTAATTATTTTTCTTTTCTAGGTGGCTTTACCGGACAATGCAGTTCTTCACAAGCATCGCAAGATCTTTTGCCGAACGAAACTTTATTTGTATTGTCACCTGTAAGTAGAATCGTACAATGAGCCAATTGCAATAAAACATAAAATAAATAAATGAGAGTTAACTACACGAAATATCAAAAATAGTTATGTTCTGACGTTTAGATTTGTGAAGTTAATTTTCTTCAGAGTTTGCTTGGACATGATATGGATTTTATTTTTGGTGTGTAGGGAAATAATGGAGATTGCTACTGTTTGGTAAAACCTCGCGTTAAAAAATATAAAATCACGAATAATAGAAATCAGAGTTTCGGATGAATAAATTCGTAAATAACATAAGATAAGAGACAAATAATTTTATGACACGAGGTACAAAAGACGTTTTTGATGACTTATATTTCAACCCAAAATCTAGTATCGTACTAATCATGTTAGTTTTGCCAATTTTTTATCAATATAAAAGGTTTCCTTCTCAGCATTACCAAAGTAAATACAAAAGAAGTGAATTGATCAACTAGTAACACAATGTTTGGAAATGACTTTTCCAATCCTGCCGTTTATCCCTAAACCTGCAATTTCTCCAGAATTTCCCAGATAGTTTCAGCGCAGGAGCTACATGCCAGTGGACGTTGTCCATCAATGTCCAGGAGAGCCATAATCTTGAAGTGACTGCTACAGCCGATCTTCTGTTAGATGCCTCCATCGAGGTTTCCTCCAAGTCGGGCTACCTGTACACGATTCTTTATGGAACACAAGGAACAAGCGGGCTTACGTTTTACCCCTATAGCGTCTTCCAGGATACCATTACGGTGGATTTTACCTCGCATGGAGTTTTGGGCGGTGGCAGCTTCCTAATAAGATTTAGTCTCACCCGTAAGTTTTAAGTGTTTTTTCGTATTTATAGCCAAACGTATTTTCCCGAAATTAGAACATTAACATACACAAAACAGTGCAGGACTTTAAAGTTTGATTGCTGAATTGAATAGGTTATACTGATTTCAACTTCAAATTATTTAAATGGATTAGTCTGAAACCTTCCTCTTTTTTAGTTATTAGTGCTCAATTATCTTAATTGTTTCGAGACGCAATTGAGTATTCTGTATCTCTTGCCTCCTAAACTGTGTTTGTTGTCAATGATATGTAATGCTAGTTTGCTGGTCGAACGAATTATACTTAGCCTAGCATTTTAACTTACAGATTGGTATTTTGGCATGTAAGAACTAAGGCGTTCATTTTACGCATGCATTCAATAACTATAACTCTTCCATATACTTCCCTTCTTTCTTTCTTAGCATCCGTTGTAAAATCGACATTTCCGCCATTTGTCACTGATTCCTCGATTCGCCATACACTAGCATCTCCGTCGCCGACCAAACTTCGTACAAACTCACCGGACATGCCACCCCCCTCCTCGGATTCCTTCCCCTCCTCCTCCTCCTCCTCCTCCACCAATTCCTCCCCCTCCTCGATCGGATCTAGTTCAACAAAGACCCTTCCAGAATCAGCTAGATCAATAAACGAGCAGGGTATGTATATTTCGTAGATAAAATCAACTTCGCCCTTTTAAAGTAAACATTTTGAAATGTGGACTTTGTATTTTTTCAGAAGATCGAACCAAATTTGAGTCCCTTCGAAGAGATCATATCGTCATCCCGTAGCTGTCCTGTTAACAGGATTAAATGGGGCCAAATCATCAAAGGATATTTTTGCCATCAGTATTTGGGGTGCAATGCATTCTAGAAATTGGAGTAGACAATAATACAATCACTTTGCGCAGCTGGGTTGACTTCTGTGCGGGTTTTTACATGAACTTGTTTTCTCATGTAATAACAAAAAAAAATATTTGCATTCTTAAAACCTTGACCATTTTAACAACTCTTCAATCTGTGTTTCTTATTCTAATCATTTAATGATCCGCTTATTTTTGGTCCTTCTTCTGATACCCCAGCTATCTTCGCTGGGGTGGGAGTGGCCGTTGCCGTTGTTATCCTTCTAGCTTTAGGAATCATCTTTGTCCTGTTCAGAGGAAGAATCGGAAGGTAAAATTTGTTTTACAATAAATTTATAATCCCTAATTGCCACATCCGCCATCACTAACAACAATCGAAATAAAGGACTATATTTTGTCAATAAGTTTTGTATAAGACTTCATACAATCGTCTCTTGCCATATTACATGCCGACGTTGGTGGCGTGTACTGTCACCAATCCACAACCTTTTTTTTCCGCCGGTGGCCATGTGTTGAGAATATTTGATTTCAACTAATAATCCTATAAACTAGGAAGTCAATATGACTTTTTCATATTATCCTTTGAACCCTACCAAAGCTAATTTCAAGATGATTTTAAGATGATTTTATAGCATGAAATATTTAGGTAAAAGCCAGCAAAGCCTGGCCCAAAAAACAAAAAAGCATTGAAGAAAGTAGTTGTGTTTCATTATCATTATACTTGTCATTAATGTTGTCACATTACATGACTCTCCGCCGATTATTATGTATGCGTATAGTGTAAGCAGGGTATGAGCGTGATACATTACAACTTGTCTTAGTGGCCACACTCTCTCATGTCTATTTTTACCATCCACATTGCCTCCCCCTATAGAAGGAAATGTGTGTTGAAGAACCTGTCACATAACATAGACCCTCCGCCCATTGTTCTGTATTCATGCAGTGTAGGCGTGATACAGTCACACTTGTCTTAGTGGCCACCTTTCACACACTCTCATCTGTCTATTGTGATCGCCCACATTGCCTCCCTCTAGAAGGAAATTTGTGTTGAAAAACCTGTCTAGAAAGACCACCTGTCTAAAACTAGCCCCCTTTTTAAAATTCCCATACGAGGCCTTAAACAGGTTCCTTTGTATTCCACTTGGAGTTCTGTAATTCATCCGTATTTTTCAGAAGGACTTTTGCCAAGTCAACTGCAGAGAAGCCGGCCGGACTGGTCGGCTACCACCACGGAGTGGTTGACGTAGTAAACACTGCGTACGCTACACCAACGTCACTTCCGTCCGGACAGCCAGGCAACGAGGAAGTAGAGAATCACATTTACGCTACCATCCCCGATGATCAATACCTTGTCCCGGATGCATTCAACAATGGACAAGTTGAAGACGGAAAGTTGAACGACGACTCTTCTGAGACGGCTGCTGAAAGGAAATTGAACGACTACGATGTTTAATACACTTTTCGTCATCCAATAACGCAGTACATTGTTTGAAGGGGAAAAAAAGCTGTTTGATACCCCTGTGTATATTTCTTAAATAAGAAAGAAAAAAAGAGAAATATGAATAGCCTTTCATTTAATAACATTTGTTGTCACCTAGTCATAGAAACTCCAAAAAATTACTGATTCATAAACTTGTTGGTTTCATTTATGTGAAAACTTCTAATACTCATACTGTTCTAATACTAGGTATAGCACACCAAAAATAAGTACAACAAACTCATGTTATTTGATGATTGCAAATGATCAAGCTTTATGAAAGCTTCAAAAAACAAAAAACAGAATTGAAATCGGTCAATGCGTTGTGATTTTAAACCATTTTTTTGATAAACCGAAAAACCTGCCAGAAATGGTCAAATTGGCAAAAATGGCAAACATCGACAAAGTTGGCAACTTAATTCAACACTTTCTTTGACACAAATAATAAATTAAATTATCAGACACTAAAACATCATCTTTGTGGTAAAAAAATACAAAAAAGAAAATCCATATATCTATAACCGTTTTGAAAACAGAAGCAAACAAAATAAGTAATTTTTGCCATTTTTGCGAATCTGCAGATATGAAAAAGTTGTGAAATTAACTAAGTCCGTCTTATTAATATGCGCATATGTAATCAAATCAAAACCAAACATGATACATCTATGTAACCTATGTATATCAGACAAGTATAGAATTTTTTTTTTTTTTTTTTTTAAGCAAAAAAAAGTCTTGAATATTCATCAAATATGCAAATTAGGTCATTTCAGCTAATTATGTATATAGGAAAGTCAAACTGTTCATTTTGTTGGCATTTTTTAAAATCATATATTTAAAAACCATATTTACACCAAGTATTAACATTAAATTCCTAATACTTTTGCAATGCCAATAAAATATGGCGATGGGAATTACTTGGATCACCGTTACAGCTATTTCCTCATATGTTTCACAAATTATTCAGAAAAACCGAACAAATAATAAGAATTAACCGACTTGCAGCTACATCACAGTATAGTTTTATTTTAAAAAAATGTCAGATATGAGGATTTATGACGATTTTCCGAGAAACCATTCTATTCAACAGGCCATAACATTCTACAGGGACTGAACTTTGGAAAAAAAGAAAATTTGGTGACCCCAGTACATTTGTGGCTACCTTGAGTGTAAAAAACAAATTGATTCAATGAGTGAAACACATGAGGATATTGCATTTTTGTAAGAGAGTTTTATACATTGAAGTGCATTTTCATCACGCAGAATAACGGTCAGCGGGCCATGTCACACATGGCTGAAAAGACAATATTCTAATTAATAATTTAACATATTTTCCACATGCCTATAAAAATGAAACTACACAAAATTGTAGTTAAAGGTATGTTTGAAAGATATGTGAAATAAAAATTTAAAAATATTGTTCAGTTTTTTAAAAATAAATTTACGAAAATTGCTATTTCTACCAACTGACTGCTGTTGTGTGTGTGTATGTGCATGGGGCAGACTGTGTGCACAGGCAGTGGGATCACCCTAATTACTAATACTCTAACATCGACAACTTTCGTGAGGTAATTTGCATCAGCACATGTGAAGATCGATTGGAAGCGTAGCTTTGAATTCGTTGTTCCTCGATACCGCCTTCTGGTTTTGTGTAAATAACTGTCAAGGTTGAAGAAAAAAGAAAAAAATATCCTTCGATAATTGAACATGGTCCTTATGGCCGTGTAAGCGAAAATCCTTAACCACTAGACCAAGGAGGCAGGTCGTGTGATACTACACCAGATACACTCCCCGACAGAAAGCCTCTTCAACCTCCAATCTAATAATATGTATTATATATGACATTTTATATATTTCTTTGCAAACATGCATTTGATATCCTGAACAAAAATCAAATGAATAGCATTGGGCAATGCACGTGACAAAGTGGTGATGACAATCTCCAGTTAATAGCATTACATTCTAGAATGTTTGTAGAAGTTTTTACCAAAAAAATGTTTACGATAGAAGCATTAGTTCAAATTGAAGCTTATCAGGCTTAATGTAAGCTAGAGGAATATGATGAATGAGGTTTGCAAACATTGATTCTTGTTTGCATCGGTCACACAAGATCTTATCTGACAGTCTGCCCAACGGCATCACGCAGCGCATGTCAATTTAAAGGGATAGTTGAGTTCTGTTTTCAGACCGCAAATGCCTTCAAAGTGCATGGTTATTGCTCTTATTCTTATCAATGACATTTATAGTGCCCTTTTAGCACCTAAAATTGCTATGAAGGTAATTTTAGACCCCAAAATGTGTGAAATTTAGCCCATACGATCATACCAATTCAGCTCCACAAACATGGTGACCGTTTAATAATTATTAAATTAAAAATAACAATACATGAGCCGGCAAATTGTGGGTAATATAAGCAACACGAAAATGCCAACAAAAAAGCTAACATCAGCATTGGCTGAAATACGACGTAAAAGGCGTTATTTCGTTTTTTGTTCAACGGGTTTTTCAAATTTTCAAAATATCTAATATTTGTGGTGGAACACAAGTATAAGTAATCGTTATATTTCAGCCGTTCATTTTCCATTATCTCACAAGAAAATTATTTTGTGTAGCGCCCTCTGCAACAGAACTTAACTATCCCTTTAATCAATTTAAAGGAATAAAATAAGGAAGGCGAATAGAAGCAATAAAATGGACATAGCTGATATAATGGTCGAGATTCCCACAAAATGTAGGCATGTTTTAAGTGGGTGTTTGTGTGAGTGTCTATGCACGTGTCTGTTTGTGTGTATGTAAGTGTTTTTTTTTTTTTTTTTTTTTTTTTTTCCTCTTAAATGTCGTTTTATGTTCATGCCTTCCTCATGCATGCATGTTTCATGCTTTATTTGATGTAAATTGCAAAATTTCAATTATATTATTTAGATGTGAATGTAAAATCATATTTTGTATAATAATATTAACATGCAGATTACTTTATGTATTGATTTTGTTATTGTTTGTGAAAAACAATAGAAAAAGAAATATCATTGGAGAGAGAGAAAAAATAAAGAAAAAAAAACTTGTCAAATGTGGTCTAGCGCCATCTTTTGTTTAAAACATTATAAGAATATCTTAAACACTCATTGCCATTGATCTTTTGTGTTACAATATTTCAAAGTCGCAAACCGATGCAACTTTTAAGTTCTCAAAAGTTTAGTTTAGTTATTAGTTAGCATATTGTATGTAATGTTTATACCGTGTATACATGAATTACATAGGTATATAATAGTTTTTTTTTTTTTTTTTTTTTTTTTTTTTGTTGTTGGTTTTTTTTTTTTTTTTTTTTTTTAATGCCTTTTTATGTTCATGCCTTCTTTATGCATGCATGTTTCATGCTTTATTTGATGTAAATAGTAAAAGTTATTTTGTATTATTTAGCTGTGAATGTAAAATCATACTCTATATAATAATATTAACATGCAGATTATTTTATGTATTGATTTTGTCATTGTTTGTTATTATAATTTTTGTTATTGTTTGTGAAAAGCAATGGAGAAAATAAAATCTCATTGAAAAAAAAAAATTTTTTTTGGAGAGGTTAATTCCCCTGTCTTACAATTTCAAGACATAACCCATTGCCTACTAGAACCGGGTGTTTCTTGTTAAGCCTATTGGGATTAGAAAACTCAGTAATCAATGGGTTAAATTTTGTATGATGTACAATCATTGAGCACAATTATTGCAATTAAATGTATACATGAGTGATGTCATAAGGCGTGAACAAATAAATATATGTTTCCACGAGAAGATTTTCTAATCAAGTTGCAATGCCTTTGTAAACAGTATCATCGTAATTATTGGAAAGAGTCAGCGCCGTGGTTTATTGCAACTTTGCGTGGAGATTGAACTTGAATCAAAGTGAAGAAGTTGGCAGTTTTTACTGGAGCGAGAATGAGTAATAGAGAGAGAGAGAGAGAGAGAGAGAGAGTGTGTGTGTGTGTGTGTGTGTGTGTGCGTGTGTGTGTGTATGTGAGAGAGAGAGCGAGAGAGAGAGAGAGAGAGAGAGAGAGAGAGGGGAGAAGAGGGGGGAGAGACAGAGTCTGACTATTATATCAAATGATAAAATGTGAGTCATGCATTAGATAGGTTATTAGGAATGGCAAAATTATGATTGAAATAGAAGGAAAACTCGCTGGATATCACATTATTTTAGAGGCTTATTACATGCCCGAGTTTCTCAATTTCTTTTGCAAAAAATCAGTTATCTATACATATTCTATCAAACCTTTCGCGATTAGGATTACCGCTCCGTTTAATTCTTTTAAAACTTATTTACATTCATTATCATCACTCCAGACTATTTACCCTGGACATGTATGTTTATTGTCTAAGATGGATTGATTAGGAAATGTATGAGTATAATAGGAAATATGGAGGGCGACTGAGAATGGGTGAGATAATGAAAGAAGCGAACTCGTGATATGAACCCTATATTAATGATTATTAGGGGATCATACAGTGAAAAGTGGAAGGTAAACATACACGGACCGCAATTTCCTATTTTTCGACAGCTCAAATTGTTCGATAGTCAATTTCAACAAAATAAATATTGGTTTAAATCAGATATATGTTTGTCTAAACTGACATTTTGGAAGAGTAGTGTAAACTTAAAAGAGATTAATAACATCCACCAAATTAAAAAAAAAAAATCAACTTGTGCACACTAAGAATAAATACGTCATTACCTGCGCAGTGTTACTAGTTGTGAATGCTGCTCCTGCCTGGTTGTTTTTAAACAAAAATCATTTCGTCTCAGTCCAACGAAAGGGGGTAGTCAATTATCACCATCTATCTGCACCCTAGAATTGTATTCAACGATAAAGGGCACCATGCGTTTCTCGTGGGAGCTGGTTTTTGTAAATATCTGCCTT